CACGACCAACATGAAAGAGAACTAGCCAAGTCATTCGATATTTATCTATCTATGTATCTTTATTTCTATTATTAGTTATGAGTAGATATAAGTAGTAAGACAGGAGCGGACATTCTTCTCGGCCCAGTATTGACTTAATACTTTGACAGGCATGAACTCAAGCTCTGACGATCTCCGTCAAAGGATAGACGAAAACTCGGCTCGCTTCTACCCGAATCGGGAGAGGCTGTCCTGCGTCAAACTGAACGTTAAATTAAAACCAAACGGCTACAGGTCAACGTGAATCAGCCGATGTTTTCTGGTCAAATCGACCTTCGAATATTTTCCTCATGTACCTTCACACGAAAGGAAAGTCTTCCCAACAATGTTATTTTCGATGCTCAATCCCTTGTTGTGACGTCAAATTTGCCAGTTGGTAACGGTCCCACCATAAAATGTGATTTGTGAGAGGCATAGTTTGCCTTAAAAATCTCATCTGCCTCGTGACCCAATGGCACCCACGATTGTGTGACGGAGTGGAGCATTATGCTCACATGATGCGAATGTACTCAGTTTCTCGAATGCCTTTGGGAAAATTGATGAAACAGTGAGGCAAGTTCGAAGCTGCAGGCCGAGATGAAACAACCTTTCAGGAGAAAAGGTCAGGTGGAAGTTAATATTTCGACGTGGGCGAGTTTCAAGACTATCAGTAATGCTTGAACAAGAACTTGATCGAAGTGATTTGAGCACTGAGAGTTGTATTTTCCTACCAGAAGATGAGTAGGCCTCTCATTTATCTTGAATTTCATTAAGCCCTGGCCCCCAACCGACTAGTTCATCCCGGCTGGATTGCAGCTACTTATTTTGCGTATAAGTAGTATCGAGGATAGTTGGTGATTTTTGACTATGAATTATCCTCCCAGCTGGCTTAAGTTGAGGTAATGATTGATAGCTGAGTTGACCTCAACTGTCACGACTTCGACCATCAGAAGCAGCCTGTGATGACTAATTCCTGACTCAGAAGTTTAATTGCAACTCATCAAATATTCATCAATTTCAACCAATATTACTTAAATCATTTTAAGCGACCTAGGCTGATCAAATGCTTATTCCGCAGCAGCAGATAGTTTTGCAAAGTGCTCACATCAAATTGTTGATCTCTTATCCACATTTGGATTAAGGCTTATCAACAAGACAAGCTACCATCATAGTTTCCACGCCAAAGGTGCAACGATACCATCATGTACGTTCTCGTGTTAGTCGCGGCTCCAGCTGCTTCGAACAGGAGGCCAGAGGGCTTTCTTTGGAATGCATCGAGACATTCAAGCGACGACTTACAAAACGGCAAGCCTAGTTACCGTCGCTGTGACAGCAATAGACAAAAGAGGGTCCTTATGATGGTAGCCACGCGAAATGGCCCTTCCAACAGGCGACACAACGACGATGCGTTCTGGCAGCAACAAGAACAAGAACAACAATAACGACGACGGTAACAATAGCATCAAGAATGCAGACAACCTCGATGCCATGAGCGAACTGGCAGTGGGCCAGATGTGTTTTGACAGAGAATTGCGTGTTCGAGAGATGTCTCACTTTAATTTGCAATACCTCTCGGCCCAGTCGGTCGGGTCAGCAATGTGGCCAGCCCATTCAGAAAAGGAGAGCAGACAAGGTAGGGAAGTATAAGTAAAAGTAAAAAAACAACATGGAACTTAAGGAATAGCCCAATTCTGGATAAGATAAGACATACGCTGCGGCGCTGGAGGTGACCAGGTCAGAGGGGAAGATGTTTCCTCTGGGGCAGTTGTGAAATTGCTGCTGCTGCTGCTGCTGCTGATGATGATGAGAATGATGATGATGATGATGGTGTTGTTGATGGTGCTGCTGAACATGGTGAGCCTGTGAGCTGTTGTGCGTATGACCGGAGGGCTGATGACTGTGCTGCGGGTGATTTGGGAGGCCGAGGAGTTCTGCTGTTGTTTGACTGGCCACCAGACTGCCAGACAACGTGGGCTGACGTACAGGCACAGCACAGCCGTCCAGTGGGTTGTAGCTACACGAAAAAAAGGAAGAAAAATTAACGATAGCGTGAATACGGCGGAAGGAGAGACAGACGGACATACAAAGATACATATATACATAAATAAATAAATAAATAAATACATACATACATACATACATACATACATACATACATACATACATACAT